ACCAGCCACTCCTCGGAAGGAAGGTTGGGCAATCCTACTTCCATAGTAATAATGCCTCAGAAACCCAAGGAGGGGTTGCTATGAGTCGGGGCCGACTCGATGGCACATAACAACAACAACATAATGGGGATAATTATTACTATCTAAGAGTTGCTTTTTCAGGACTAATTAACACTTATAAAGTGCATATCATAATGTCTGGCATATTTGAGGGAAAAAAGAGCTCATAGTTATTGCTACTGAAATATGACTGACTATGGAGGGGAGTCAGTAGAGACAGTTGGCTGAAGAATATCAAAAGTACAGAGAGAAGTAAATCATACCAAACCAAATTTGTTGCTGTAGAGTTGATTCTGACTCATAGTAACCCTATAGGATGGAGTAGAACTACTCCATACTGTTTCCAAGGCTATAAATCTTTAAGGAAGCAGACTGCTACATCTTTCTCCCATGGAGCAGCTGGTGGGTTTGAACCACCACCGACTTGTCAGTTAGCAGCTGAGTGCTTAACCAATGTATCATCAGCGTCCCAAGAAGAAATAGTGGGGAGAAAAATAAATTTCAATTAAACAAATGTATCACATCTAAAACTTTCTTATACTGATACTGGGAAAGTAAATTGGTACAACCACTTCAGAAAACCATTGGCAGTATCTACTAAAGCTGAACATGCAAATACCATGACTCAGCAATTCCACTTTTAGATATATATTTGCCACATAAATGCTTATATTTATGTACCAAAACACACGTATATGTTTATAGAAACACTATTCATAATAGAAAACAATTAGAAACAACTCATATGTACAACAGATAAACAGAATGTGGTATATTTATATAACAGTGTACACTGACCAATGAAAGTAAATGAACAATCAATGCACAGAACATGATACAATCTTACAATCAATGCTGAACAAGAGAAAATAGGTGCAAAATAGTGCCTACTAGATGATTTCCATGTATATAAAGTTCATAAACACATAGAAAAAATCTTCAGTGTTAGAAATCAAGATAGTGGTTGCCTCTAGGGTGATGAAGTTAATGGCTGGGAAGGTACATTGGGGGCCTCTTTGTGCTGGTTACACTTCTTGAAAATTCTTCAAGCTGTCTCCTTATGATTTATATACATTTTTCTATACATGCCATATTCTAATGGAGAGTTTATTTTTTTAAAATTGGCCAAAGTACTGAAAAGATTTCTTTATTGGTTTCTTCTTAGCACAGCAGAGTCCACATTCAAAAAAGAAAAAGAAGAAGATGAAGATGACTTTGGGACTAAGAGAAAAACTTAAAAATAAAATATGAAGCACAACAACAATTTTTTTACAACCTGCATGCCTCCTGCTGTAGCATGGCTGACTCCTTGCAGGACTCAGGATAGGTTAGGATATGCTGTGGTAAAACCAGTTGCCATCATGTCAATTCTAACTCATGGCGACCTCATGTGTATCAATGTAGCTCTGTGCTCCACATTGTTCTCGATACTTGAAAACCTCTGTAAGTCTTTCTTCCAAGGTGCCTTTGGGTGGACTTGAACCTCCAACCTTTCAGTTAGCAGCTGAGCATGTTAACCATTTGCACCATGCAGGGATTCTTAGCTATGGTAACCTCAAAATCTCAGTGGCTCAACACAACACAAGCACGTCTTGCTCAACAATCCATGTTTTCTAGCACATACTGGAAGGGGACTCTGCTTATGGTACAACTAGAGGATCTATGCTGAGGGAGGCTTTATCTTGACATGTGTGTCCACCATCACCCCAGCAGTGGGAAGATCACATGGTGAAACTATACACTGGCCTTTAACGTGAGACATGACCCTTCCACTAAGATTTCTCTGGCCAGAGAAACTTGCAAGGGGTAGGGGAAGTTCAGGGCTAGGAAGGAGATGAGATGGAAAGATAACAGCTCTACTGATGATCATACTTGCTCCTAAGGCTCCCTCAGTCCCATTCAGAGTTCTGTCTACAGAGAACTGTGCTGTAGGCAACCCCCACACCCTTCTCCTTTCCATCCCTTTAAGGAAATAGTGAGAAAAGGAATTTCCAGACTATGGCCACCAATAGGAGCTCTGGTAGCATAGTGGCTAAAGCACTTGACTGCTAACCAGAAGGCTGGCAGTTCAAACCCACCAACCACTCCTCGGAAGGAAGGTTGGGCAATCCTACTTCCGTAGTGATACTGCTTCGGAAACCCAAGGAGGGGTCGCTATGAGTCAGGGCCGACTCGACAGCACACAACAACAACAACAACATGGTCACCAATATGCCCCTTGCCAGTTGGTAGGAATATGACAACTGATTTATATGATTTGGTCCCTGCTGCAAGGCAGTGGCTTTTTAACTTTCCAGACCAAAGAGCAGAATGGAGTTGCAGCCTAATTGAGGGTAAGTAACTGAGAGGAGTTCTGGTGGTGTAGTGGTAAGGCATTTGGCTGCTAACCAAAAGATTGGTGGTTCAAATTCACTAGCCACTCCATGGAAGAAAGATGTCACAATCTGCTTCCGTAAAGATTAAAGCTTTGGAAACCCTATGGGTTGGTTCTACTCTGTCCTACAGGGTCACTATGAGTTGAGATAGACTCAACAACAATGGGTTATAGGTTTAACCACTGAAATGAGTAGGGACATCCTGTACATTGAAACACTCCTTGAGAATCTGCACCACAGTGCTGAGGGAGACTGTTGAACAACTGGGTGAATCAGTCTCTTAGAGAAAGAAAAAAATGAAGGAAGCAGAGTATAAAAGAGGAGAGCATACAGCTAGAGAAGAGGAAAGAAATAGATGGGGGGGATGCAGAAAAGTGAGGAAAGAGGAAGGAAATGGAGGTAAAAAAGAACCTTTCTGTCTCTAGTGAGTTGCGGGTACAAAATTCTTATGTCTCGTATAATGTGACTCTAGGCTTTGGATAATATTGTCACCTCTGCTATGCTTTTATCAAATAAGTACCCCATTGGAACTCATTCTGTTTATTAACAAAGAAATGGCTTTGCATATAGCTCAACAAACAAGGTCCCTGGCAGCCTCCTATACTCTGCCAACACTTCTAATCTTACTGTGAAGTGAGGGGATGCTCCCAAGTAGTCATGAGAGTGGGGTACTATTGAAGGGGCACAAGCAGCCAAGGGCTTAGCAAAGGTAAAGAGTGTCCCAGGCCATCTCTAAATTGTACCCTCCTCCCAATTCAATCACTCTGAGGCAATCTTTAAGTAACACCCTGCCCCAACTTTAAGATGAATGGACACTGACAGTCAAAAGTCAGCAGAAACATCTTCCCCTCTCTTGTCTGGGTGCCTCAGAATGTCATTCTGTGCCTTGTCTGCCTGTCATTCCCTTGGATTTGTGCCTGGGGTCAAATGCCCCTTTTGCGCCCCCCCCCCAACAATTTGACTCATAGAGACCCCTCCTTGGGTTTCTGAGGCGATATCACTGCAGAAGTTGATTGCCCAATCTTCCTTCTGAAAAGTGGCTGGTGGGTTTGAATCACCAGACTTCTGGTTAGCAGTCAAATGCCTTAGGCACTATGCCACCAAATCTCCCTTTAACTATGCCTCTTGATCTATCATGCTTGAGGAAGGAAGTTGGGCCATACTGGGTTAATAGAAATTGCTCAGTGGGTCCCCCTTCAAGTGGCACCCAGGGCACGTGCCATACCTGCCATACATTAGATACACCTTTGCTGGGAGCTCTTTTGCATTTTAAATGTGACTTCTTCTTAGAAGCATATACCAGGTTTGGGAGAAATGTACTAACACTAGTTTTATTTTATTTTTCATTTACCAATTGAAGATACAGTTCAATTTTAAAATCATTTAAAACTTAAAATGTTTGGCTCCTGAAAAGACAAATAAAAGGTTGAAACATGTTGAGATAAAAGGAAGATCTGAACAGGAGTGCCGTTTAAAGATGAAAAACATCCTATGGTAACCATAAGGCTAATTTCCCTGTGTCCATACAGTCCAATCAAAGAACTTCATGGGTAGTCATCACCGATCTGTCAGTGGATGCTTGCATGTTGCTGAGCTTCCAGATAGACAGACTAGGGAGAAAGGCCTGGCAATCTACTGAATAAAATCAGCCAATGATAACCCTATGAATCACAATGGTCTCATCTACAACTGATCCTAGGGATGGCATGGGATTGGGCACTATTTCCTTCAGTTGTGCATGGGGTCCTCATGAGTTGTAGCCTATTTGATGGCAGCAAACAACAACAACATATAACCCAAACAGCTTATTGAAATTCTGATAAACCTAAGATTTACTTACTACCTCAATTCCCTTTATTGTGAAAGAAATCACTTCACAAAGGCCAATGATGTGAGGTAGAAAGGAAAACATTCGATCTGATCAATCAAAAACGTCAGAGAAGGGGTACAGCTTATTTTAGACAAATTCAATTTTTGAAAAGTGTGCGGGTGCTTCACAAGTGGGTGATTCCTCACACCTCCCAGAATGTTGCCAAGAAGCTTTTAATTGGCAGGCTCTTCCAGCATATTCCAAAAGAATCCAAGTTCCCAGAATAGGATTCTATATTAACTTTTTAGGAACACATCTGCTGTGAGAACTTTCTTAGGAATTTTGCATTGCGACTCTAATACTAAAGCATAAAGAGAACAACACATTTTAAAATATTTATTGAAGATTCAAAATTCTCCCCACACAAGGAAATGATGACCAGTGCCACTGGACTATTAGGTTCTGACTTGAAGACTGGAGATTTAAAAAAAAAATGCAACCACTTGCACTTTCTTGCTAAAAATAAACCAAAATGAGTTTAATTTAAAAGATATGCTGTGGCAGCTGCTATTAGGTTTTAGGTCAAATAACCAATGGGTCCAACTCAATGTGAGACGGGGTGAGCCTCATTAAAAAGTGTGGCTGAAGAGAAGCCAGTAGGACCAGTGCAAATTATTGCCCTTTGAGAGCTGATGTGGTTGCTTTTCTGTTCAATGAAGATTTTAATTAGAAAGTTATTCTTCTTCAAAGATGCTTCATTCAGTTGTGTTCCAATTATAGACCTTCACAAAGAAAGCAAAAAGAAGTGCCAACAGAGCTAATCCCACAGATATCTTCAGTGCACAGTCTTCATGTAGCTTCTGCATCTGTAGCACCATTCTGGAGTTCACTGAATCCCGCTGAATTGCAGCAGAGGTGGGGGAGAGTGAACTCAAGTGAGCCCCACACTTATTTCTGAATTCCTAAAGAGAGAGAGAGGGGAGGGAGAAAAAGAAATCATTTTAAGATGCAGAAAAAGCCTTATTGTGATATCAAGTAAAGGGAGCCTAGAATGAGCCACCATTTTCACTTATCTCTTTGACAAAGGCATATCCAAACACTTACCATGGGTCAAGTGGCCCCAAGTTAGATATGAATGAGCCACAGTTTCTCTGAGAGGTCAGACCAAGTTAAATGATTTTAAATAGATCATGAGAGAGCCACCACCTGTCTGTTACTTTGTTTTTCTGTGGTTGCTTGTGTGCTATTGTGACGCTGGAAGGCATGCCATGAGCATTTCAAATATCAGCAGAGTCACTCATGGTGGACAGTTTTCAGCAGAACTTCCAAACTTAGACTAAGTACAAAGTCCTGGTGATCTACTTCCAAAAATAAGTCAATGAAAACCATATAGATTACAACAGAACACTGTCTGACTCCTTGCTTTGGGTATGTCATCAGGAGGGCTCAATCTCTAGGGGAGAAACATGTTGGGTGAAGTAGAGGGCCAGTGAAGACAAAGGAGATCCTCAGTGAGATGGACTGGCACAACTGCAATGATGGACTCAAACATACTGGTCAATGTGAGGATGATGGTTCTGTTGTACATTTCAACATAAGTTGGAGTTGACTTGATGGCAGTTATCTATCTATCTATCTGTCTGTCTACCTATCTACCATTCATCCATCCATCCATCCTTCCATCTATCTAAGAGAGACAGAAAAACAGTATTTATGGAGAATTGAGGCAGAATTCCCAGAGGACAGAATTTGTATAGAGTGGAATCATATCTCAAATGTACATTATTTTAAAAAAATGCAACCATATATACGCAGAGAAAGAAAAATGCCTGAGGAAAAAATCATGCAACAAGGGTGTCTATTCTTCCCACTGTTTTATTCGACGAGCACTTCTAGGACAGAAATTCCCAGCTGGTGTCTGGCTGCAGAAGGGGTGCCTTCAGAGAGGTCTAGGTGGCCACCTCCCATTTGCAGCCTCCCCCAATCACTCTAGTGTGCTGTACAAATACTGTCATTTTCTCTCTGTGTCATGACAAAGAAAAGGTTGGGAAACCCCACTTGGAGAGAACACAAGGATATAGAAGACATGACTGCACTGCTTCTTTACATGGCCTTTGCTCCCCTACTTCTTAAAGAGGAGTATCTGGCTGCTGTTAGGGTAGTTCTCAAGTGTCAAAATGTAATTTTTATTCCATTTTGAGATTTTCCCTTTGTGCACCAGCTTTAGAACTGGTGCTTCCCCATATAACATGGGACTCCCCCATCGAAACCTGAATGGCATTTTGAAAGACTGAGGCAGAGTAGGGCACACGTGGGTTAGAAGTTCTAGATGGAAGAACAATTAGGGAGGAGTACAGGTGTAGCACACTGTGTAGAAGAATACACAAGGCGGATTTAGGCAGCAGTACAAACTGTCTTTGACCTCTATTTTATGCTGCTTATACTTCTCTTTCAAGCTCTTTAACAATCTCCTTGACAACAGGGTCATGACTGTACTTTTGGGTTCTGTGTAGGAATCTGCACCTGACCATGCATGGTACAAGCATAAGAACTATGTTTTACTAAAGGAACTCTAACAGTTATGTGTACTATGTATTTGGAGAGAGGGGAGTGTTAGAGAATCCAAGGGCAAGTTGTGAAAAATAATTGAGATGGGAGCTAACAAGGACCCATGTTAAGCTGATGGGAGAAGAGATGGAGAGAAGGGAACAAAAGATTTGTGATGTAGTCAACAGTATTTTTGTTCAGATGAGTGGGTAATGAGAAGTAAAAAGAACAGAAATGGTGAAATGAAAATAACTTTTACAACCCAATTTCCACTGGCTAATATTTACATAAAATAGATGTGGGAGAATTCTTGCTTTGACTGTAGGAGACTAATTACAAAATTAATAAAGCTGTTAACCACAAGGATAAATCTCTCAACCCCAATGACAGTCAGACCATTATTTACTTCTGTGCTCCTCAGTTATCTGAGCAGCTACCCTGCTGGTGTCCCTGCACTCTGAGTCCTTCAGAAAGAGGAACACAGCTAGATAGAAGGCAGCCATCTTCTTCTCAGAAGAGGCAAAGCCAAGAGCTCAGTGGGTCTCTAAAGCCTGCACCTGCCCCCGGGGAGACAGCTCTCTGGTGAGAGTGGTTTATTTGTGTGATATTCTGGAGCTAGGGATGTTGATAAGTTTTCCATTTTGACTGATGAAAAATAAGCTCAAGGTCTCAAAATCAATCTTGGAAAAGAACACAAAGTCCTTCTTCAGCTGAAATGGCAGAAGCTATACGACTTTCTCAAAAGCAGGGATGTGACCTAATTCATTCCTGAACTCTTGGAGCCTAGCACAGCTCCAGGTACAAAGCAGGTAGTCAGCAAGTGCTGAGAGATGAATGAGTGAGTGAATGAAAATGAAGGTATGCATTATAAAGGAGATTTATAGCTGACCAAGAAGATGCCTGTCTATGCCTCTGGTGATCAGTGTTATGAGATGTACTCAGGGCGATATTTTATATGACCCATCAGTTGTTTCCTCTAGTAATTAAACCATTGAGTGCTAACCAGAAGGTTGGCGGTTCATACCCATCAGCCACTTCATGGAAGGAAGATGGGGCAATCCACTTCCGTAAAGATTTGTTGTTGTTGTTAGGTGCCGTCGAGTCATCTCCAACTCATAGCAACCATATGCACAGCAGAATGAAACACTGCCCAGTCCCAGGCCAGCTCTGCGATACCCACTATACTTGAGCCCACTGTTGCTGCCACTGTGTCAATCCATCTCGTTGAGGGCTTTCCCCTCTTTCGTTGACCCTCCACCTTACCAAGCATGACATCCTTCTCCAGGGAATGTCCTTTCTGACAACATGAACAAAGTAGGTGAGATGAAGTCTGGCCATTCTCACTTCCAAAGAGGATTCCAGCTGTACTCCCTTCAGGACAGATTTGTTAGTTCTTTTAGCAGTTCATGGTACCTTCGGCATTCTTCGCCAGTACCACAACTCAAAAGTATCAATTCTTCTTCAGTCTTCCTTATTCGTTGTCCAGCTCTCACAAGTGGCAGGAAAAGTGGAGGGGAAAAGAAAGGAAAGCCAGGGCACCCAGGACAAAGCAAGTGGCAGAGGCATCCAGGTAAGGAGAGGGACCCAGGCCCCAACCCCCAAGCAGCAGGAAAAGCAGAGGGGAAAGGAAAGGAAAGCCAGTGCATCCAAGACAGAATGAACAACTGGCAAGGATCCAGGTAAAGGGAGGGTGGAGAAGTTTCGAACAGCTAAGGGAGACAAACTTGTCTGTTGGTTTGTTGTGCTCTGGTGGCGTGTTGCTGTGAGGCTTGCGGCTGTGCCACCAGTGTTTTAAACACCAGTGGGGTTGCAAATGGTGCACAGGTTTTGGTGTGGCTTGCAGACTGAGACAGACTAGGAAGTCTTCTTCTCAAAGAATTGCCAGGGAAAACTTTATGAATAGCAGAGAAACTGTAAAGAATTTATTCCCTTGGAAACCTAATGGGGGTTGCTATGAGTCAAAATTGACTCTATGGCAGTGGGTTTGGTTCCACTTTCATAAGTTTGGGTATACAAGACCAGCACTGAGAGGCTAATTAATGTCACCTAGGCCAGAGTGCTTTAACCTTTTTCAGTCACAGACAGATTTGAGAAGCTAATAAAAGCTATAGATTTCTTCCCCAGAAAAATGTAGAGGTGCCCATATACAGATGCACACTGTCACATATGTATATTATTTCAGGAGGTTCACAGACACCCTCACCCAGCAGTGGATTCATATTTTTTTGAGTCTGAAGCTTACAGAATTTGGGCAGACTGTCTTTAAGGACTGCCACCTGTCTGTTTGTTTGTTGTATGTTGCTATGATGGTAGAAGGGATGCTGTCAGTATTTAAAATACCAGCAGGGTCACCCATGGTGGGCAGGTTTCAATGCCACTTCCAGACTAAGAAGGAGTAGGAAGAAAGGCCTGGAGGTCTCCTTCCAAAAATTAGCCAATGAAAACATTATGGGTCACAACAGGATATTGTCTGCGTAGTGCCAGAAGATGAACCCTTTAGGTTGGAAGACACTCAAAATACACTGTGGCCTCCACCATGGGCTTGAGCATGTCAACGATTGTGAAGATGGTGTGGGGCTGGACAACCTTCATTTCTGTTGTTGATGGGGTCACAATGAGTTAGAGCTGACTCTACAGCCACTAACAGCTCTTAAAAAATATATACATGTATGAACACAGAATTTGGTGCAGGGCTTGGAGGGACCACCAAATGGGGTGGGGTTGGAGGGGGATGCTGAAACTGAAGCTCCTGAGCTTCAGGGAAAATCCATCTCTGTACCCACCCCCAGTTAAGAAAGCTTGTCCTTGGTTTGTGCCTGTAATTTAAGAAGCTGCCAATGGGGTATTAGTGGCTCCAGGCCAAGGACCAGGCTCAGCTGGGCAGGACTTCTAAGTCTTGAGGCACTGAGCATTTGGTTGGGTTTATAATACATTTTGCTTTACGAAGTTGCTGAACATGTAATGAGCCTGTGCTCTGTGTCTTAAAAAAAAAAAAACCTCTGACTTTTGACAACATTCTTACAAACTTTTTCCTCTCCTTATCATTTGCCATAATATTTTGCTCAAAATATCAAACAGACCAAATCAGCTGCCATCAACTCATGGCAATCTCACATGTGTCAGAGTAGAACTGTGCTCCAAAGGGTTTTCAAGTCTGTAACCTTTCAGAAGCAGGTTGCCAGGACTTTCTTCCAAGGCACCTAGGGGGAAAGGGGTGTTAAACTGCCAACCTTGTTGGTTCCCATCACTTTTTTATTTTCTTTCTCTCTCCCATTCAAATATTTAACCCATTTGACTATAACTGAACCTTTAAAAGCATTTTGGTGCTGAGTCTCCCTCCTGTTCCTTGTGGACAAGGCTGCATCCCATAACCATACAGGAACATGCAGCCATTAGAGGCCTGCCTGACTTGCCG